TCACCCTTTACATACACATGAACAGTCCGTGACTGTGGTACTGCCTCATACAGAGTCAGGCCCCACAGTGTCAGTATTTCTGATGCTTCCCATTTTTATATGTCAGCCAGGACTCCCTGATTGAACCAGATTAACAGCTCCAATCAGGGAACTCATATTCTATGAGGTCCAGCTGGCTAACCTCATTATAATCAGTACAATGTCCTGTTTCACCTTCCAGCTTTCAATGGAAGATCATCCCTTTCTGTTGCCAGTCAGGAAAAATGAAAAACTGTACAATCTGAGAGAAAAAAATGGACAATTGCTGTCGATAAAGTTATTTCCTTTAGCTCTTATGCTGATAATGCTCTGCCAAGCGTTTTTTTTATCCGTGTCCTGAACACAAATTGAGAACCTGAAATATAGCCACTGTCCTCTCCCTTTCCATTCTGAAATCTTCATCTTTCAGACCTCAGCAAAAAATGGATCAGCTGGAAGAGCATAAGACTGAAGATCTAGAATTCCCAACATAATGGTGCTGTGGATCTACCTACAGCACATGGACTGCAGCAGTTCAAGAAGGCAGATCACCATCACTTTCTCGAGGGCAGGTAGGGACAGGCAATAAATGCTGGCCCAGCCAGCAATGCCCACATCCCATAAGTGAATAAAAATAGTTAATTAACTCCCTCTGCTGTATGTGGAAGAAACTCACTGTATTTTCTTGAATGGAAGGAGGAATTTCCCATCAATTTTAACTTTTATACACAAATTAGTCAGAAGAACAGCAGCAGACTTCAATACCCCTCCACCACTATATTATATTTGAATGTGTTTTAGAATCCATATAGATGATTCCTAGCTACAATCTCCAAGCAATCAGGATAACCGCCTCCTTAACATCATTGTGGGCGATTTTTAGATTTGAAACTCTCACTTGCTTAATGACTGACTGTCACAATTATTGATTATACATATGTTCCATGAAGCCAACTAGTTTAACTGTATTCTCCATGCCATAGAGTTAGGGAAGTCAAACTGACTCTGTGTTGGGGGAAGCATTGAGGAATTATGGGAGGTGTTGCCCCAATGGTATTATCACTAGATGATTAATCTAGAGATTCTGGGGACCTGGGTTTGAATCCTGCCATGGCAGATAGAGTCACAGAGATATACAGCACAGAAACAGACCTTTCAGTCCAAATCATCACGCTGACCAAATATTCTAAATTAATCTAATCCCATTTGCCAGCATTTGACCCATATCCCTCTAAACCCTTCCCGTTCATATACCCATCCAGATGCCTTTTAAATGTTGTAATTGTACCAGCCTCCACAACTTCCTCTGGCAGCTCATTCCATTTATGCACCACCCTCTGTGTGAAAAACCTTAGGTCCCTTTTAAATCTCTCCCCTATCACCTTAAGCCTCTAATTTTTGACTCCCCCACCCCAGGGAAAAGACCTTGTATACTTATCCCTATCCATGCTCCTCATGATTTTATAAACCCCTTCAAGGTCACCCCTCAGCCTCTGACACTCCAGGAGAAATAGTCCCAGTCTATCCAAACTCTCCTTATAACTCAAACTCTCAAACCCTGCAAAATCATTGTAAGTCTTTTCCGAACCCTTTCAAGTTTCACAACATCCTTCCTGTAGCATCGAGACCAGAACTGCACACAGTATTCCAATAGTGGCCTAACCAATGTCCTGTACTGCCGCAACATGACTTCCCAACTCCTATACTCAGTGCACTGACCAATAAAGGCAAGCATACCAAATACCTTCTTCACTATCCTATCTACCTGTGACTCCACTTTCAAGGAAATATGAATCTGCACTCCAAGATCTCTTTGCTCAGCAACCCTCCCCAGGACCTAACCATTAAGTCTATAAGCCCTGGCAGCATCACAGGAGCAGGAAAGTTGACGTTTCAGGTCGGGACCCTTCTTCAGAAACTGGCATCCTTACCTGGTCTGGCCTACATGTGACTACAGGCCCACAAAAATGTGGTTGACTCTTAACTGCCCTCTGGGCAATTAGAGATGGGCAATAAATGCCAGTCTAGCCATATCCTGTGATTGAATAAATAAAACTTGGAAGAAGCCTGTGGTATTCTTCAGATTACTGAAGAAGGGTCCCGACCTGAAGTGTTAACTTTCCTGCTCCTCTGATGCTGCCCGGCCTGCTGTGTCCCTCCAGCTCCACACTGTGTTATCTCTGACTCCAGCATCAGCAGTTCTTACTATCTCTAGGTGTATAAATCCTGCCCTGATTTGCCTTTCCAAAATACAGCATCTCATATTTATCTAAATTAAACTCCATCTGCCACTCCTTGGCCCATTGGCCCATCTGATCATGATCCTGTTATACTCTGAAGTAATTTCTTCTTTGTCCACTAACACCTCAAATTTTGGTGCCATCTGCAAACTTACTGACCATATCTCCTATGTTCACATCCAAATCAGTTATATAAATGACAAAAAGCAATGGACCCAGCACTGATCCTTGTGGCACACTGCTGGTCACGGGCCTCCAGTCTGAAAAGCAACCTCCACCATCTCTCTGATGGAACCTGAAATTATTCTTTAAAAGAATTCTGGTATTATGAGTCTAATGATGAGTATTGTCAGTTGTTGGAAAAACCCATCTGGTTCCTTTACGGAAGGAAACTGCCATCCTTACCCTGTCTGGCCTACATGTGACTATAGGCCCACAGAAATGTGGTTGACTCTTAACTGCCCTCTGGGCAATTAGGGATGGGCAATAAATGCCAGCCTGGCCATATCCTGTGATTGAATATATAAAACTTGGAAGAAGCCTGTGGCATTAATATTCACTGCAGCTGACAGAGTGGGGATTGTAAAGCAACCAATAATGTCTGCTTGGCATCGCTGAGCTAAATGGGAGCTCACGGAAAGACACAAGTAAAGGTTTAGCTTTGAGAAACTAGCCGCCAACAGAAAGCTGAGTTATGTCTGTGAATACGTACCGGTTTGCAGTTTCAGAGCCTGCGTCAGCAAAGACACAGATGGTCAACCAGAATAAAGCCAGACACTGAGATAGTGGATGATATAATGTTTCTTGAATGGGAATTTCTGCACGAGTGAAAATTTGTAATCTCTAGTGAAGTTTAATGAGATTTCATAACCCACTGTGTCATTGACGTTTTGGGGGAAGTTACTGAGAAATCTGCAGGATCTGCTTTGATCATAATTGCTATTCCTTGTGCACCATGGGGGTGTGCAATCACAGTATATCCCTCATGTTTAACATATGTTAATTCTGGGTGAGATGCTCTTTGGAGGGTTGTGTGGACTCAATGGGCCAAATGGCCTATTTCCACACTGTAGGGATTCTATGATTCTAAATAATCTCCAGACACAGCCTGTGTCTAGAGTGCCACAGTCCAAGGAGCCTGTGGGCTGTGGCCAGGGTTTGGAATACAGGACAGTTTTGTGGTGGATGCAATCGACAACGCTTGCCACACAACCTATTTGCTTTCTGTGTCCTGTCTAATGTCAATACAGTTTGCTACACCTCATGCTTGCAGGTGCTGTTGTCTGGCCACGATGTCGTCATATTTTCTGTCACTATTAGCAATGAACCAATGCTGTCATCATCTTTGGAACACTTCAGATCGTGTGGAAGCAATCGCCAATCTGTTATCTGCTTTCACAATTGCTGATTAGTTGCATCTGTTCCCCTTATTCTGACATCCTCTGACAAAATTGATCAATAAATTCATGAGGCTCTTGCCTTTAGGACATCAATTCAAAGCAATGAATTCTTAACTTGACCCCAACATGCAACTGATCTTCTGGCGCTGTCCATTTTTTTGTGGGATCTTTCTAGTCCTTCTCAGATGAACTCAAGGTGTTGACTTTGTACAACCCATTACTACCAACTGCAATGAAAATTTTCACACCTGGCCTAACAGATTCTATAACTACTTTGTCTATGAGCATTCTTTGATTAAAAGGTTTGAATTTGAAGAAGAAATCAGTGGCTTTCCAGTTTGTGGTGGGGGATTTGGTATCGATTCTTCTGGGGAAATGGACAGTAAAATGACTCTGAACTTCCAGTTGCCTGCCACCTCAATGCACCACTGTATTCCCTGGGCAAAATGTTTATCTGGGGCTGGCTGCAGTGTTCCAGTGAACCTCACTGTAAACGGAAAGAACAACATCTCGTTTTCCAGCCTCTAGGCTTCAACATCGACTTCAATAATTTTAAAATCTGATTCCATCCTTCCATGCAGGGCATGTTTGCTTTACCACAACCAACCCATTCTCTCATACCCTCAGCTCTCATCCTCACTTATTCAGGTGCTCTTCAGACCTGGCTTATTATCAATAATCTCCTCGTCTGCCTACCCCTGTCATATCTCTTTTTCTCCCTGAGCTCCATCTCCAACTATCCACTTATCTCTCCCTGCTCAGCATCCCCAACCACCACACCACATCCTCAATCCCCTGCAGTTCTGAGGAAGGGTCACCGGACCCGAAATGTTAACTCTTGATTTTTTTTTCTTCACAGATGCTGCCAGACCTGCTGAGCTTTTCCAGCAACTTTCTCTTTGTGTTCCTGATTTACAGCATCCGCAGTTCTTTCGGCTTTTATCCAAAGGAGAGGTCTAAGTAAATATTCAGTGTTAAAAAACAAGACCGAATTCCCCGATCTGCGGTACTGCATCAGACAAATTGAATAGCTCTTTCAGAGTAACAGAACAAACACGATGGGCCGAACGACCTTCTGTAACTTGAATGCTGACAGATCCATTGCAAGCTGAGTTTGAAACTGAACACCTTTCCCCACTCGCATTACTTGAAATATGATCATTTTAAAGCTTTATTGACGTATTTTTCCGTAATCAAGCTGTCCAGCGATGAAATTACTGGTAAAGTATGTAGGAGTTGAACCGAGGACTCCTAGTCTAAAGGGGGTGGGAGTGTCGCATTATCACTGCTCCACTTCAAAGCTTCGTTGACAGTGCCCTGCTGATGTGTTCGGTTTCCACGAATTCTGCTCCATGCTCCGCCCCAGTAACTTTGGGAACAACCCCGCTGGGTGGATGGTGCGCTTAGGATTTAAAGACTGGTTCCGAGTTTATCTGCATTCCACCTCGTTCATCATTCAGCCGAAGTTCCGCACGCAACACCAAGAAAATCTCCAGGGCAGAAGCTCCTCTATCTGATTGCAAGTACTGTTGCAGGACCATTTCGGTTTAAGGAAACACTTCGTCAGCTGCAAGCAGGTCAGCGACTTTTCAGCACTTATCTATCCTGTTTAGGAATTGCGTTCATGTGAGACTGTGGGGAGGGGGGCAGATTTTGTAAGGACTGAAACAAAGTTGCTGGAAAAGCCCAGCAGGTCTGGCAGCAGCAGTGAGAGAAAAAAAGAGTTAACGTTTCTAGCATGTCTAAGAACATAGCGATAGAGTCATGCAGCATGGAAACAGGCCGTTAGGCCACCATGTCTATATCGACCAACAAACACCAAACCAAAGTGATCCCATTTACCTGCTCTTCCAGATGCTTCTTAAATGTTGCAGTGTGGATGGATTTTGGAGGCACGTTGACCCATAGAATAGGGAGATATCCTCACAGGGATGACAGAGAAATAGGTGAATTGCCCATACGATGGATGAAACAGGCACAGAAGCAACAGAGACAGTGCCTCTGTAGCCTCTGTCTGTTAGGATCCCAAATTGTGCCCTGGCATTCAGTTTGTAAGAATTTCTGTTGGAGCAATTTTTATCCACCTTCCTGTTTTACATAATAAAAATAAAACAGGTTGTCTGTACTAGATGCTTGGTAAGGAACTTGCTGGTTGCACTGAGAAGAGAAAGCAATGGAACTGCAGACGATTGCATTGAAATCATTCAGGTCAGACTGGCTGACAAAAGACATGACCTCTCCAGCTCGATCTGAATGGTTACAGCATTTTCCCCCATGTCCAAAAATCAGGGTGAATTAATTTTGCACCTGATATATTTGAAATCTTTCACGTCTAATACAGAAACAAGACTATTCCGGGGATCAAAAGTACAAACGGTGCTCATAATTTAACCCCTTTAGTTTGTGCAGTATTAAAAGTTGTAATTGTCATCAGCAAAAATTTTATTGGGACAGCATTGGTTCCATACAATTCAAATGTGTACCTCAGTCAAAAATTTAAAGGAAAAATATTTTTCAGGAATTTCTTAGATAGTAGGGAATGGAGGAAGCACTGATATTGCACATCCTCTGTCCCTGAAGATTAACTGGTACTCATTCAGAAAGAGCACCATGGATAACAATGACCTGGTCTAATATTGAAGTCTAGCAAGATTCCTGTCATATCCCTGCCTGCATCAATGACATAATCATTTGACACAACTGACCAACAACAACAACTTGTTTAATGTGTCACCTTTAATATAATAAAACTCCTCAAAATTCTTCACAGGAATGAATATCAGTCAGATATTTGATATGGAGCTACGTAAGATCATATTAGGATAGGTGACCAGAAATCCTGGTTGGGTATGTAGATTTTGAGAACAGAAGGAGAGGTTTAGGGGCAGAACTGCAGAATTTAGTCAAATTGAAAGCATGAAATGGGAAGTGATGCAAACTGGGAATGCTCAAGAGGCCAAATTTCGGAAGGTTGCAGGGCTGGAGGAGGTTGCCGAGAGGAGGAGAAATCGTGGAGGTATTGGAAAATAAGGATTCAATCTTCGGCTTGCAATTAATTAAAGTACAGCGATTCTCTCTGCCGGCAACATTTTATATTTTTCTGCTCCTAGGATGCAATCAAACCTCTTGACAAAAATTTGACTGAGCCAATTGTAGGATCCTAATAAAAATCCAGTGTTCATGTGAAAGATTACTACACATCTACAGAGAAACTTGTATTGTGCTTGATCCTGACAGGTTGAAACATGCCAAACTACAAGTTGACCTACTTTAAAATAAGAGGGCGAGCTGAGACTGCTCGTTATATTTTTGCATACAGTGGAATAAACTACGAAGACAACACCATTGACATAATGGATTGGCCTAATATAAAACAATGTAAGTAGCACAGTTTGCAAAGAACATTTGCAAGCTTTGGAAGAATAAATCATTTTTAGTTTCCTTTTTGGTTTCGCCCATTGTCTTGTCAAATCCCATGAATGGAAATTAAATTTGGATGATGCTGTGCAATTCTGGTCTGCCCTGTCTAGAGTGACTTTGTATCAGAACTTAAGTTTAAATAGTTGTTTGATGGTAGGACTCTGCTTTGATTTAATCAGTTGGTAGGGCCAAAGAGCAGGTAAGTTTTGAACTCTGTGCCAGCTGAACAATTAAAGGGAGATTAATGCTGGGAAACTGAAATCTTTCCTCACATGATATGCGCTGTCCTGCTTTGTTAGTTTACTTCTGGGTTTCAACAAAAATTTCCACCACTAAAGGTACATTCTAATACTTCTCATTTGAGAAGACATGAAACTGATACAGGTTAAATTATGAATGCGTTGGATAAAGTAGACATGGAGAGTGTTTCACATGTCAGTTTGCATGTAGGGGCCCTATACTTAATAACAATAACAAATACAAGAGGGAAATAAGGAAAAATTACACTATAATTGGTTAGAATGTGGAATGCGCATTGCACATTCTGCTGTACTGCACACAAAACAAAACTTTTCTCTGTACTTGGGTACATGAGACAAAAATCAAATCAAATCAAATGTGCTTCGATGGAAAGTTTATAAGATTAATAACTTAGATACTTTCAAAAGAAAACTAGATGTGGGGATTTGATGGCCTCGTGATATTACCACTAGACCTTTCAATACAAAGACTCAGCTCAGCTGTGGACCTGAGTTCAAATCCAGCCATGGCAGATGGTGGAATTTGAAATTTTAAAAAAAGCCCTGAATTAAGAGTCCAATTATGGCTATGAAACTGTTGTTGATTGTTGAAAAAAATCCATCTGGTTCACTAATATCCTTTAGGGAGGGAGATCTTCTGACCTACGTGTGACTCCAGACCCACAGCAATTGCCCTCTGGGCAATTAGGGTGATATTCTGCGAATGCCAGATGAATTAAAATCTTGTTACAAAACTCCACTTTATTTTTCATTGTTTAAAATTAATCATGCACTGGGAATATAAAGATTGAAATAAAGACTTTGATCTAAATGGCACCTTTCACAATCTTGGGGCTAAAATCACTTTATAGTTAATGAAGCATTTTTGAAGGACATGTAAGAGTGCAGAGAAATTATCATTCCATATCCAGGTTACTATATCTTACTTAATATGGTGACTTGGCATGTCTGCACAGCTAATATCAAACCTAATACTACGCTTGCTAACAGTGGAATTGGATTTAACTCTCAATAATCTGGAGCCTATGTCGTTCTCATTCTAGCTCTGCTCTTTCAACAAATTCCGATTCTGAAGGTGGACAAAACTGAAATCAATCAGAGCTCTGCTATTGCAAGATATTTGGCCAGAGAAACAGGTACTGTTAGCCAACACATTTTTACTATTCTGTGTCTCTACTGTTATGGTGCGAGATCATTTATATATCTACCATGCATTTTCTTTTTTATTTTTTCTTAGGCATAGCAGGAAAAAGCAACCTTGAACAAGCTCAAGCAGATGCCATTGTGGACACAATAAATGATTTCATGAATATGTTCCCCTGGACTGAAAAGGACCCAATTGTGAAAGTATGATTGAATTTCAAATGTTGTGAGATGTAGTCGCACTGACGGTTGACTTAAGAATCTGCTTTTAAGGTGTTAGCTGTGGGTCCAAGTCTCTTTCCAGGGACTTGGGATCTTTGTCCTGATTGATAGTCATTAGCTATGCCAGCAGTTATTGCAGAGCCCTGAGATGAAGAGAGATTTGAGTGTCCTACTGCATGAACCACAGTATACAGGTACAGTGAGTAATTAGGAAAACTGACAGAATTATAGCATTTACCACAAGGTGAATTGAATATGCAAAAGGGAGGTTATGCTACTGTTATACAAGGTTCTGGTGAGACCTCTTCTGTAGTACTGTGCACACTACTTTACCCTATTTCACCTTATTTAAGGAAAGATGCAAATGCATTTTTGGAAGCTCAGGAAGGGTTTACTAGATGAATATCATGGAATTGGCATTTTGTCTTACGAGGAAAGTTTGGATAGGGTGCTGGTATTGTCAGGCATTTAGAAGGGTATGATGCAGCTTGTTTGAAACACATAAGAAAGTTCTTGACAGGGCGGATGTGGAAAGGATGTTAATTCTTGTAGGAGAACCCAGAACTAAAAGGTTATGTTTTAAAAATTAGAGGTCATCCATTTAAGACTGAGATGAGGAGAAATGATTTTCTTGCAGAGGGTCTTGAGTATTTAGAACACACCCCTCGGACAGGTGGCAGAAGCAGCATCTTTTAGTATTGTTGAAGCTGAGATCGATCGATTCTTGGCAAGTAAGAGGGTGTTAAAGTTGAATCAGAGATAGTAGGAACTGCAGATGCTGGAGAATCTGAGACAACAAGGTGCAGAGCTGGATGAACACAGCAGCCAAGCAGCATCATAGGAGCAGAAAGGCTGACGTTTCGGGCCTGGACCCTTCATCAGAAAAGCGGGAGGGGAAGGGGGTTCTGAAATAAATAGGGAAAGAGTGGGAGGCGGATAGAAGATGGATAGAGGAGAGGATAGGTGGAGAGGAAACAAACAGGTCGAAGAAGAGATTACGAGAGAGTTGCAGTGGGAGAGAGATCCCCTGAGGTTTGTCCGGAGGGAGGAGGGTAACTTCTTCAGGTCAACCTTTCTGCTCCTATGATGCTGCTTGGCCTGCTGTGTTCATCCAGCTCTGCACCAGGGTGTTAAAGTTATCAGGTTTTGAGTGGGGGGGAGGGGCACGGTTAGGTTCAGGTTTCAATAAGATCCACCACAATCTTATTGAATAGATGAGCAGGCTAGAGGGGGCCAAATGGCCTATTCCTACTCCTAATTCTATATATACACACACACATATGTTTGTTTGTATGTACCACATTTCTGTTTGTGGGAGCTATGTGTGACCGAGTTAGCTGCCATTGTTCCTACATTGCAACAGTGACTTCAATAATACGTCATTTACTATAAAGCACTGTGGGGACACTGAGTGTGTGAAACACTCTGTACAGTATATAAAAAATAGACTGCCATTTTCCTGTATCAGAAAGTGATGAGTTCACCTTTCTTTATCTGTGCTGAAATCTTAACATGTTGCATCTCAGCAGAAGGCAGCCAATTTCATATCAATGAAATATTTAAAATGAATATTTCACAATGAGGCAGTATCATTCTTATAATGATTTAGCCTCAGTGCTCACAACCCTACTTTCAAAATGAGATAGTAAGAACTGCAGATGCTGGAGTCAGAGATAACATAGTGTGGAGCTGGAGGAACACAGCAGGTCAGGCAGCATTAGAGGAGCAGGAAAGTTCTGAAGAAGGGTCCCCACCCAAAACGCCAACTTTCCTGCTCCTCTGATGCTGCCTGGCCCGCTGTGTTCCTCCAGCTCCACGCTGTGTGACCCCTACTTTCAAGATATTGGCTTGAGCAGGATTTGATGTGAAGGAATGGGCTAGAACATAAGAACTAGGAGCAGGAGTAGGCTATCTGGCCCCTCGAGCCTGCCCCGCCATTTAATAAGATCGTGGCTGATCTTTTTTGAGACTCAGCTCCACTTACCCGCTCGCTCACCATAACCCTTAATTCCTTTACTGTTCAAAAATTTATCTAGCCTTGCCTTAAAACATTCAGCGAGGTAGCTTCAACCGCTTCACTGGGCAGGGAATTCCACAGATTCACAACCTGTGAAGAAGGGTGAAGAAGTTCCTCCTGACCTCAGTCCTACATCTGCTTCCCTTTATTTTAAGGCGATGCCCTCTAGTCCTAGTTTCACCTGTTAGCGGAAACAACCTCCCTCCCTCCACCTTATCTATTCCCTTCATAATCTTATATTTTTTAATAAAATCTCCCCTCATTCTTCTGAATTCCAATGAGTATAATCCCAGTCTACTCAGTCTCTCCTCATAATCCAACTCTCTCAATTCTGGAATCAGGGGATTAAAAAATTAGAAGATTTATTGTTTGAAGACATAAGACATTTCAATGTAGTTTGTTCAGAGCTTCTGGATATCGAACTGTTCTAGCCTCCCACTTTTGCAATTAGAGAGCATTTTTTCGAGAGTTTGTGTGTATCACTGCTGTAAGGTGCTGAGACTGGCAGGAAATTTGTAGTAATTAAGAACTAAATACTAGCGAATCTCAGCAAGTCTGGCAGCATCTGTGGAGATAGAAACAGAGTCAATGTTTCAAGTGTAACATAATTTCTTCAGAACTTAATAGCAGTAGAAAAGTTATGGGTTTTACACCTTTGGAAGGGGGACAGCAAGTGGAACAGACAGGCAGGGCAGGGAAATGTTAAGGGAGATATGAGATCAGGGGTGTCACAGAAGATAAAGGGAATGGTAATGGCTGTGGAGAAAACAAGGGTTAGATCCACAGTATGTGTTAATCAACTGCTTTCTGTGGCACAGAATTCCACAGGCTCATCACTCTCTCTGAATGAAGAAATTTCTCCCCATCTCTGCAATAATACCCCATATCTTTAGACTGTGACCCCTGGTTCTGGGCTCCGTAGTTATAGAGAATGCCCTTCCTGTATCTATCCTGTCCAGTCCTGTTTGAATTTTATAGATTTCTATAAAAAAATTTCCCTTTCACTTTTCTACTGTGGGTGTTAATGGCAGAATAAAGATGAACTGTGACTTAAAGCAAGACCATGAAGACAAGACACACAAACAGGGCGAGAAGCGTGGTATCAAAATAAAGGACAAACTTAATGGGTTGAAGTTAAAGTCAATGTTGAGTGCAGAAGGCTGTCAAGTGCTGAGACATACCTTGCAAAAAGACTGGTATGACTAGGGCCCATCGGGGTACTGATAGTTGCACGTTATTTGGAAAAAGTGATACAAGTTAAAGGAGAGATTGTTCAATGTAAATAAACAAGCTGGAGGACAGTGGTAGTGAATTGTGACTGTACTGGACATTTTACGACAACATTCTTGTTGCAATGCTGCAATTTCCCAAATAAAGTTGAGTATATTTAGAATCCAATGATCTTAGACAGAATTTGCAGCAAGGGCCACTCAGCCTACTGATCTGCTGCAGTGTTTATGTTCCACATGAACCCTCTTCGTCTCATCCCATCAATGTGTCCTTCTATTAACTTCTACCTCATGCACAAAGCCAAATTATTTTCCAATGTATCCGTGCTCTTCCTTTCACTATTTTGCTACTTTGAGTAAAGACATTTCTGCTGAATCCTTTATAGATTTATTTGTGACTGCCTTATTTTCATGGTTCTTAGTTTTTGCGTCTCCCACTAGTCTATCATCACTCCATTCTGTTCTTTTGGCATCATCTCAGAATGAAGCTGGTTGATTTCTTTTTAACCTTACCATTCCATTTGACTCTCAACTAACCTTCTGACTCCACGCCATCTCCTTTACAAAGGTAGCAGAGGAAATGCTTGCATCAAACTATTTCTAATTACAGACTCTGAGTCGATTCATCTGTATGGAATAATGACTTTCTTTTACAGCAAAAGATAACAGACGATGTTTTTGCCAATAATATCCCTTTGTTACTGGATGGTTTGAGCAAGCTCTTGGGAGATCGAATGTGGTTTGTTGGTGATTCAGTGAGTATAATTTATTGAATCTTATTATGAAGTATAATAATATGAATATAATTCATGCCTAGGAGATTCACAATAGAGACCAACCAGAGTGACTGAATGATCACTTTTATGTCTTGGAGTCTCACCCATTGAGGCTGTTGATCAGGAAGTCACAGCCACCTTCTCCAGTGGGAAAATCTGTTCTTGCCTGTAATTACATTAGGAACAAGGGAAATTTCAGTGAACAGAACCATTTCACTGTTGCTTCCTTCCCTGTGGCTTATTTAGTCGGTTCAATTAGCTACACTGATTAGGAGGGTTCCACCCCGTTAATGGAGAACAAAATGTTCAACGATGTGAGAGTTGGGAAAGAAGCTATGATTGGACTCAGATTCCCTGGGACAGCAAGGCATAAAGCCTTGTTTGATTTTGAGTTATCAAATTGCCGTTATTTGAATTGTCCGGATGTGAAAGTCAGAAGATTGGGACAGGCTATGATGTCTCACTGCCACTGACTAATCTAACAATATTCAAATATCTAGATTCAAGCATCTTCGTCTGGAACATATGAATAACTAAGACACACAGTGTGTAGTAATTATAATGTGCTTGAGAGATCTGTGTTCCCCAAGGGTACCCCATCACTGAGATTTCTATTGCAGTTTAATTGACAAATTGATTGCTATGATTAATCATCAGGTCCAAAGTATCATGTGATTACTTGAATGGAAATCTAGAAAAACTGTAGATTCCCATGAACAACTGCATCAGTGACTAGTATCTGAGAAATTAATAGTGGTCAATTTCTTTGGAAGATGAGAAGAGGAAATAATGGTCACTAAAGGAGGGAACAGAACCAGTTAAATATTAAAATAATGAGCATAAGGGATAGACAATGCACAGTGGTGATATTTTTCTGTTCAAACTCTCTGCACACAGTAAGATCTCATCATTACACTGTAACAACTGTCTGTATTGAACTCAAATTGCCATTTTGCAAAATTATTAATATACTTATCTTTACTTTCAGGTTACCTGGGCTGATTTTCACTGGGCCGTCTGTTCCATCACCCTCACTAATCTAAATATTGATATCTTGCACAACTATCCCAAATTATTAGCTTTGAAAGAACGTGTGGAAGCTCTTCCTAAAATTGCAGCCTGGATAGAACAGAGACCAAAAACTGCATTGTAAAATTACAGCTTTCACTTAAAATGCCTAGTACATGAAATGAAACCTTATTTTCTACAATGGTTTAATTCTTTAAGCATTATTTCCAATAAGAGTCCTGGTTCTGCAATAATTGTTATAGATTACAAATCTATAAATTCCTAAGTTCCTCATTTATTAACCTTTTGACATGGATTAAGCTTGTATTCTCAAGTCAAGAGGGTTAAAGGGTGATCGAGTGGAGATGTTTAATAATTATAGTCTGTGATAGGATAAGAAGCAAGACATCAAGGGGCGTATGCTTCAAGTTAGAGCTAAGCCATCTGGGTTATATCAGGAAGGACTTCCTTCACAAAAGGGCAGTAGAAATCTCTCCCCAAAATATCCTTAAGTCGACGACAAGAAATAGTTGGAAGTGCCATAACAGAGGTGGATAAACTTTGGTTGACGATGTAGCTATGGAGTGGAACCAAGTTATGTAAATGAAGGCAAAGATCAGTCATGATCTCATCAAATGCCAATACAGGCTCAAAGGAGTTGAATGGTCTACTGCTGTCCTTGTATTAATACATTAGCATTTGGCTTTAATCATTGCTGTAATGTTTTGAGTGCAACTGAGAGGGCTCTTGTGGTGCAATGGTAGTACCCCTACCTCTGGATCAGACAGCCTAGCTTCAAGTCCCACCTGCTCCAAAGCTGTGCCAGAATAGGTTGGTGAGAAACAAAACAGAAATTGCTGGAAAAACTCAGGAGGGCAGGTCTGGTAGTATCTCTGGAGAGAAAGCAGAGCAAAGGTTGAGTCCAGTGACTCTTCATCAGAACTGAGTTCCAGCATCCGCAGTTCGTTGCTTCTAGGGTGGTTAGAAGTATCTTTAGGTGAAACAGGACCAACATTGTCAGGACTTTCTCCTCCAATCAAAGCAAGAAGTTGCGAACAGTGTGCTGCCTACCCAGAGTAAGACTAACCGATTTTATGAAACAGACCAGGAAATATCTGGGAGTGGAAGGAGAGTAGCCAAGAGTTGTTTGAAACAAATATTGTAAAAAAAAAAAAAGTGTCTTAAGTTCTTACAGAGGGAGTTTAAAGAATCAGGTGTGAGGTTGATTTAGAGAAGAATCTAATGAGCTGAAGGGTGATGGTCTTTTCCCAGCCTTGTACTGGCAGTGAGAGTTGGGAGCAGTGGTGGGTATTAATGTATTGCTGTGTGGCAAGTCAAAGGAGGAAGGGCTCCCATTATTAGATCATCAAAGCGAGTTCTGGAATAATTGGAAGGAAATAATGAAACAAAAGGAATCAATTGGTGATGGTGGGGGCAGATTAAAGGTTTACGACTAGATAAAGAGAACAGTATTAATAAAGCTCCAGTAGAATCAGAAGGATTAGTTGAAATTAATTGAGATCAAATGTTATCAAGGAAATGGGAAAATGTCAAGGGCATGTAAATACAATGTTATGGAACCAACTAAAAACATTAAATAATGGGGGAAAAAAGAGAATATGGTTCAAAAGCCCCAAAATTTGGAGTTTGCTGGAGTGTCATTAAAATGCAGAAGTATCCAAACCAAATTTGGGAGAGTTGTTATGAATAATGAGAGCGTAATTCAAAATAAATCCCAATTTCTTGTTTTTTTCCTCAGCCTCAAGTAAAAAATCATTTAAAGGAATAACTGGGTCTGCCTCAGATACTTCCTATAAAACTACCATTAAAGATTTAGGCAAAAAGTGATTAAACTGCTCTGCTGTTTCTTCATACCTCGTGTTCTTCAGCATAAATTAGTAGTGCTGTGTAATACATTAGCTGCAATGAATAATTGTGGGAAGTCTGATGTGCCTAATTGTACTTCTGATTAATAAAGAGAATACTTCTGTATGCATTTTAATATTCATGTGTATTTATTGATAATGAAGTTTTTTTTGATAACGTGCCTGAATAAATGGTGGGGGATACTTAAAAGTATTCACAAAGAAAATTTACCAATGAGTGCATTAAATCATTTTCTGCTAAAACAATGTTATGCCACCACCTCTAACAAACACTGCTAAATTTAAATATGCATCTTCATCCAAGGAATTTAATGTCTGAAAGAAAAAAGTCTGTCTTTAGAGAATGAAGACCATTGATGTTTTTTTTTAAAAAAGTTATGAATGGACTGGAGTTTTAATGGTAATTACAGCAAAATTGTCTGTTCACCACCATCGTCATTGAAGCTGACAGCAACTTTCAGACTCCACATGCACAAGATACTATCAATCAGTCTGAACTCCTCCAAAGCTTTGCTTTAGAGATACAATCTGCAATTAAATTGCAATAATGATTTAACAAAAAACTTCCATTTCTATGCAATTCGCCTTGACGCAAGAACCCGTGCAAAAGCCACACATTGTTGAATGGCTTTCAAATGACTTAACTTTGTAATCATTGCTCACTGGTCCTGAAAAGCTATATTTCTCATTTCTGAACTGTCAAGTTTATTCACAAAGACAAAACAAAATAGGGCATGTAGTAACCTGTGATGAGGACAATAGTCACTGAAAAACCTAGAGATGAAGGGATAAAAAAGGATGCTAAAGACACACTTCAACTCATAACACAAGAACAAACATGACTGAACATAGAAAGTTAAGTGAGAAGGAAATAAGACATGAGATGATATGAAAATTGAATTTAATATTAAAATTTAAATGAATCATCTATTGTCACGCGTATTCAATGCAAAAATACAGTGAAAAATGAGTACCCTCGCCATACATACAATGTCCATTCACATTAACTTAGAATAAAAATAAGATAAAATAAAATAAAATAACTCGAGAGTCCAACTTTCCTTTCCACTGCCACAGTCCCGCCCCAGGCTTTCCAGCCCACACCATGCTGCCATCAGCATCCTGCTCTGGGCTGCCTCACTGGCTTGCTCTCGCTGGCCCACTCTCAATCCGCCGCCGTCGCTACAGGATACAACCTGCACGTTCAGCTCCTGCCACATAGTTCCTGGTCGCGATCCGGCTCCTTAGGTAGGTAGTTAAAAGGGGTGGTGGTGGGACGAATAGAATAACTAGAGGGAGAGAGAAGAAGCGAGGAAAAAGAAAGAACAGGCAAAGAAAGAGAAAGAGAATTGGCAAGCAGAGTGGAGCTCCAAACGGAGCCACTTACCCTGCCATCTTGCCGAAATCTCTCGACATAGAAATAGCAAAAGGATAAAAAAGGAGATGGGGCCAATTAAGGATCATAAAGGGGATCAAAATATAGAGCTGGATGGCTTTGCTGAGATGCTAAATGTATGCTTTGCATCTTTCTATTTGGAAACATTGAAAACAGAAGGAGTCAGCCCATCAAGCCCACTCGGTCATTCAACGTGATGAGAGTCAGACAGCATGGAACTTTGGCCCAACTTGTCTATGCTATCCAGGCTTCCTAAACTAAACTAGTCCCACTTGCTGTGTTTGGCCTATATCCCTCTAAACCTTTCCTTTCCTTTTCCTTTGGATGTACCTGTCCAAATTTCTCTTAAAATGTTCTAATTGTACCAGCCTCTGCCACTTTCTCCAACAACACATTCCATAAATGCACCATCCACTGCGTGAAAAAGTTGCCCTTCAAGTCCTTTTTAAATGTTTCCCCTCTCACCTTAAATCGATGCCCTTTAGTTTTGGACACCACTACCCTGGAGAAAAGACATTGGCTATTCACTTAATCTATGCCCGTCATAATTTTATAAAACTCTAAGGTCATCCCTAAGCAGTGGAAAGGAAAGTTGGACTCTCAATTTTAGCTTTAGAATCTGTTTCTTTCTTAAATATATTCAGCAACTTTGCCGCCACAGTATACGCTGGTAGTGATTTCCATTGGCTTGTCAGTGGTACTCTGACAAAAACAAAGTTGAGAAGACTCATTCTCTCTCCTTCACATCTTAATTTACATCTATTTTACACCTCTTTCTCACCACTGGACCTCTACACCATCTGCCCTCTTGCTTCTCCTCCATGTCTATTAAAATTTTTAAAATCATTTTCCAATATCTTTCAGTTCTGAACAGTCATACCAAACTCAAACCATTAACTGTTGTTCTCTCTCCACAAATGTTACTGATTTCTCAAGAGATCAGTATTAGGACCACTGTTTCCTTTATATATACAGTATTAACAATTTAGACTTGGGCACAGTGCACAGTTTAAAATTTACAGAATTTATAAAGATCAGTCGTATGATGTTGTTGACAGACTTCAAGACAGCATAAACAGGTTGGTGGAATGAGTGAATTTTAATGCTGAGATGTGTGAAGTGGTATTTTGTCAGAGGAATGAGAAGAAGCAATATAATCTAAAGGATATCATTGTAAAGTGGGTGCAACAGTGGGGAGTATAAATGTTCACAAATCATGCAGCCTACAGGTTGAAAATATGGTGTAAATGGCAAATGGGATCTTGGGCTTCATAAATGGAAGTTGATGTCCTAAAGTAATAAAATTATGATGAGCTTTTGTAAGATACTGTTTGGCCCTCAACTGGAATACAGTGTCCAATTCCAAACACCATACTTAAGGCTTCAGAGAGCAAGAGGTTTGAGAATTATTCCAGGGATAAGTGACTTCAGTTATGTGGACAGCTTGGAAAAATTAGGATTGTACTCCCTGAAGAAAAGAATGTTGAAAGGAGATTTAATGAAGGTGTTCAAAATCATGAGGGGTCGAGAATGAACAGATAGAGAAATTGTTTCCACTGTTAGAAAAGTCATGAACCAGAAGACAACAATTTAAAGTGAATGGCAATAGATCTAATGGTAACATTAAAGAAATGTTTCTGCATGCAGCGAGTTATTAGAAATGCATTGTGTGCATGGTGGAAGCAGATTCAATCTTGGCTTTTAAAAGTGAATTCAGTAAACATATGAAAGGAAAAAATTTATAAGGCTACATGGAAAGGGCTTGGGAATGGCACGAGATGAGTTGCTCTTGCACACAACCATTACAGACTCAAAAGACTGTAGGGCTGTAATCACATTATGATTCTACTGTGGGCAACAACAGAACACAGCTGTTGCTGGGAAATTATTGAAGAATAGCATCAATTCAGGCTGGAAATGAGCAAAGTGAGAAAGAGGTCAATTTATTATGCCAAGTTTTTCTTGAAGTGGTGAGAGATTGATGGTTTACTTCTCCATCAGCAGATTAGAGGGAATTCTAACTTGTAATAACAAGCAGCAACAGAAAACACACCTGATGATAGTGAGCAGAAGTGCTAACAGGAAAGAAAAATTTTAGTACTAGAACCTATTATTTCAAAACAGCAGAATCTTTATTTGCACTTAATTTCTCATTTTAAGCTAGTAACAGTATAACAGGTCAAGTAAACAAAGCAAATATTTTTTCAGAGATGGTACAGTAATTACTACTATGAATACACAAAGCAACACAAAACTGAGAAACCAGAGAGAATCCAATTGTTGGGACAAAACGCAAGTGAGGAGAAATTAACAAGTCCATAGAAATGTTAAAAATGACCACAAATTGAAAAACCTCTCTTAACTCCTTAAGGATTTTTAAATAGATTTTATATCTGATAGGTTCAGAACATTTTCTTAGTTTAGGATTCTGATGAGTAATGTATCATAGCCAATTAATTGAGGAAGAGAGGCCAAAACAGAATTCACAGTATTAGCATATGAAAAGTTGCCTGGTCTGACAAAATTATTGTAAACATACATATATCTTTAGAGGAGGAAGAGGAGGACAGAAAATGCTGATTGCAATGCTGTAGTACCAATGTTTCATCACTGGTAAAGAACTTTACCATTTACCCTGTTTCAGTACAGTATGTTTGTGGCTTAAACGTGGAACTACAGCAATACAATATTAATATACATGGAAATTTATTTCTGGTGCTTTGATACGGCAAATTCTCTTTATTCTCATACAACACTAGTACCCACTCCTATTTTTTCTTCATTAAAAATTGCCCATTCCATCGCATACGATAAAAAAAAGGTGATGTTTGTTAATTGACAATTTCACTACTTCCAATTACATTACACAGTATTATATATTCTTTCTCAGAGTTGTGTTGCACTCGGAATTTGGTTGACTTAACCCAACGATGCTTATGGAGGATGTTAAAAAAGGGCAGCTGAATGTTATAATCCTAATGAAGTCTTCAACAAAGTTGCTATATTAAGTGGAATGTTCCCCTCGCCTCCTTAAAAACAAAGAAATTCATATTAGAACAAATTTAGCAACATTCACAGCAGTTTTAAAAGACAGGCAAGGCAAAGTCCTGTAATTGCTAGCTTATAGCTGGCGCACACTGAAACAGATAGCAACATACAAAGCAATTTTTTAAGACACAAAGGCAGGGAATGAAGGCTAGCATTCAACTGGATGCTGCATGGTTAATACGTTATACTTTTTAAGAGAGTCATGAGTTTTACAGCCTTCAGTACATTATGTCATACAGTGATATAGTCATAAAGCACCTATCCACTGTCGTCCCATTTTTCCAACACTCGGCCCATGGCTATGGTATCTCAAAAGATCTAAATACTTCTTAAAATGTTCTGATTGCTCCTGCTTCTACCACCCTTTCAGGCAAGGAGTTCTGAGTGAACAAATTCTTGCTTAAATCCCCTTTAAACCTCAAAATCTATGTCCCTTGTTTACTAACCCTTCTTTAAAGGGAAAATTTTCTTATCCACCCTACCTTTGCCGCTATTAGTTTTATTTACCTCACTCAGCCTTCTCTACGCAAACAAAAACAACCCCGTCTAGCCAGCCTGTCTTTGTAGCTGAAACACTCTAGCCCAGGGAACACGCAGGCAAATTTCTTCTGCAACCACTTCAGATCAAATCACATCTTTCCAATTGTGAGGCACCCAAAACAGCACACAGTACTCCAGCCGCAGCCTAACTATTGTTCAATATAGCTCCATCATTACTTTGCTGCTTTTAGTGCTCCGACTCAAAGTTAAGTATCTTTCTTAACCACCTGATTTGTTATTTTCAAGACCTCATACATCAAGGTCCCTCTGATCAACTGTACTTCCTATGGGCCTACCATTCATCCCTCCATTTTGAAAGACTCCCATTGCTAATATAGATTTGCCTACAAGTAGATTCTCCCAGTTCAGTTTAGTCAGATCCTGTCTTATGTTAAAATCAAACTACCCCCAATTCAGAACCTTATTTCTGATCCATCCTTGTCCTTTTCCATGACTACCTTAAACAGCAAAAATTATGGTCACCATCACCGAAACGCTCTTCTACTGACACTTCCACCAGTCACCTAACTTTGTTCTCTAAAATCAGAATAGAAGAACAGAATAGCTTTTATTGTTACATATACTCAATTAGTATAGTGAAAAGTTTATATGTCGCCAATTAAAGTGCCAACTTAGAAACAGAAGTACCTAGGCACAGCTTCTTTTGTTACAAGATTTAGACAAACAGAAAATAAAAATGTCCAGCATTACAGAAATAAAACTTCATCACAGGAGACCACATTGGCACCTAGCTTCCAGATCACATTAGGCCCTGGCGACACGCCATGCAGGAGGCCCCTATGGGAGGAGGCTGGTGCAGAAGGCCACCATGCCAGGCCAGGAGTGGTCGCTCTCAGGAGGCTGGGAGATGAAGAGGAAAAAAAAGAAGAGGAGAAGAAAAGCACTGAGAGGAAGAAAGAAGGAAGAGAAAAAGTAGAACAGGCAGAGCGGACAAGCTCTAGTTTTAAGGCCCTACAAAGTGTCAGACACAGCGCTGCCCTATCTTTTGTAGGACTCTTTACATACTGGCTTACAAAGCTCTTCTATATACATGAAGAATTATGACGCTTATAAGCCTTTCACGTTTTGTCTATTCCAGTTAATATTGAAGAAGTTGAAATTCCCGACCAATTATTTTACAGATCTCTAATATCTGCTTTTTTTATACCCCTCCCAATAAATGCCATCCATCTTCTCATGCTCCCTTGTCTCTTCTTACTTGTGGGGGATGGCTTCAATCCTGCCATATTTCCAAGCAAAACTAATTCCACCTCAAGAATTTTTCAACGTCTTCTCCAACAGAACATACATTTTCATGGAACATATGAGGTCCAAGAAAAAAGGGAATTTAAATAAAGAGCTTTGTATATGGAAAAACACATCAGTTCTGTGTAGCCAATGCTTTTTTTCCCAATACTACTAGATGGCAAACTAACCGAAACTGGGGCACAGTTTGCATTGAGGAGAAAGGAAACAAGTAGGATACTCAACTGCATGACTCACCTGTTTCTGTTGAAGTCATATCCTGTTCTAGTTTCAGTTTATGTTCACCAATTTTAAGCATGGATTCTTCAATAGTCCCTTTGCTGATCAGTTTTACAACATGCACTATTCTACAAATGAAATAAAAAGTTATGAAATAGTAGGATTGATTTTTCATTGCATTTCATGTTCTTCCTTTTCAAATACTGATTCCATTTTCTCCAAATAATACAACAGTTTTTGCTTCAGCTTAACTTCCCCATTGCTTTTCTTTCTCATTAGCAAGCTTGTGTGTCACTGCTATATTTAATAGAAGAACTGGAAAATTTCAGTTTCCATCATAAATCCTCATGCTTGAAATAGATCAGTTATAGCAGTTAGAACACCTAGCCTCCAACTTCAGTTGTGAACTATTTCTGACCTAAAATTTGACCTAACATTCTGAACTTGTTTTATTAATCTGGCTATATAACATTTTCATCCTACTAATGCAAAACTGACAAGGATCCAAAGCAGTAATAGGCGTGTTGTGGCTTCTTTGAATATCAATTTTTTATTTAATGACTAAGATGCTTGATTCTTTACTTTTGATTGTATAAGGCAGTAACAATACTGTGGTAGAATATTAGCAGTTGACTCATCAAAAATGTCACTTTTCAATCTCAGATATGCCTCAATACCATTGTGCAACATCGGTTTCACAGTCAGAATTGAAATGTCAGTAATCTAAAATTCAGCATAGTCTAATCAGCTATCTATTTTGCATTCTTCAGCGTACCACAGTAAGAGCCAGGATGGTGGTGAAAATATAAATATTTTGAAATGACAATAAAATGCTGGGGACCATGAAGTAGAAAATGAATTCCCTCAAAACTTAACTCTTTAAACCTAATAAAAATCAGCCTCAAGTTTTAATCAAGATGCACTGTCTGTCTGAATCATCTAGATCCTGGCTTACATTAATCCACAACTGAGATGAAAGGGTAGTCAAGGTAGGTGGAAGTATATATATTTGCAAGCCAGTTCTGCCAGTGATGCACAATGTTCATCAACATTTAAAATACTATTAAAAAAAACTAAGATGAAAAATAATTATCATGCTTTGCTGCCCCTATGCTGGAGTTATTAAGTTGGGCCATAAATGCATAATTTTGGAATAAAAGCCTTCAAATATCAACAGTTGTCGACAGATTCTGTTCTTTTTCCTTGGTCATTGTAATTTTGATGGAATTTACAGATTACATTCTCCAAGCCCCTGAAAAATGTAGGCAACGGTGAGTCAGTTGGCAAAATATGGTGATTCTCTATGTTGTGAAGAAAAGTCCAACTTTACAAGATGAGAATTTTGCTGATGAACAGCAAGAGGTCTATTTGCTTGCACTTACGTGTCATTAGTACCTAATCTTCTTACGTAGTTAGGAGTGGCTATCTGGTAGCTCCAGCTCACTGCTTACTCCTCTGGCCTCCACTGCAGCCAACAGTTCTCAATGTTTATGGTTAAACTCAGTAGGTTGGCATTGCACATGTACTAGCTTCATTACATCCTTAAGGCACTTCTCTAACTCACTTAGAATATAGTCCTTCAATTCACAGTCCTGTCTTATTTGGCCTTCTAATGCAGAAATAAAGCCAGACAGCTTGTCATTGTTGTTAGCAGTGATCAGTCAAGGGGGTGAATATGCTGCTGTACAGGATTGTGGTAGCACATAAGCGTCACACCTACATCATGTGCCTGCAGTGTATGCAGTAAATAGAGTGAATGGGCATCATCCAAATGGTCATGCCTCAAAGTCAAAGGTGAGCAACTCTCAGTCAAGTCAAGGGAGACTGTGTTCAAATAAGGGGTACCAGCAAGTATGTCAAGGGTATCTTCTGATAGATTAGGGGACTGGATTTGGTCAGGTAGCTGGTTAGAAAATAGAACAGTACAGCACAGTACAGGCCCTTCTGCCCACGATGTCGTGCTGAACTTTTACCCTAAACCGAAGGTCTATCTAACCTCCACCCCGACCTTCTACTATCATCCATATGCTTATCTAATAGCCACTTAAATGCCCCTAATGAGGCCGATTCCACTACGCTCTCCGGCAATGCATTCCATGCCCCTGCCACTCCGAGTAAAGAACCTACCTCTCACGTCTCCCCTATATCTACCTCCACTCACTTTAAAACTATGCCCCCTCGTAATAGCTACCTCCACCCTAGGAAAAAGTCTCTGGTTGTCCACTCTATCTATACCTCTGATCTTCTTGTACACCTCTATCAAGTCACCTCTCATCCTTCGTCGTTCTGAAGAGAAAAGCCCTAGCTCTCTCAACCTTTCTTCGTAAGACCTTCCCTCCATTCCAGGCAACATCCTGGTAAATCTCCTCTGCATCTTTTCCAACGCTTCCACATCCTTCCTGTAATGAGACGACCAGAACTGGACACAATACTCCAGATGTGGCCGAACCAGGGTTTTGTATAGCTGGAGCATAACTTCACGGCTCTTGAACTCAATCCCTCTATTAATGAAAGCTAAAACTTTGGGGTGTTTGGGGTGTCCAGGGTCACAAAGGTCCGTCTCTCTGCAGTCTGGGGAGTAGCAATGGCCAGTCCTGCAGATCCAGCTTAACCAGTCAGGTAATTCATGGTCAGTAGTTGGAGAGCAGCACAGAGATCAATCCGAGGTCCGTGGTCACTCATCAACTGGGGCTATCTTTACAAGTCAGTCAGGACTTGAGCCACGAGTGTCTGCTCACTCAAAAGTCTAGGGAGTTGTCAGCGACTACTGCTGTGCGATGCTGGTGAAATCATTTGTGATTTGTGCGTGTCATCGACAGTTACCACAACCCTGACCTCAATGAGCATGGGTGGCCGTGTGACGGCGTAAATTAACAGTCCATGACTAAGATGTATTCCTGGGATTGAGGGGCTGGGGGTTAGTTGAAAAGAGACAAGCAATTAAATAAGACAGGCTGCATAGGATTCTAGAGACGATCAAGGCTAATGCAGTTGACAGACAGGAGAAGGAAGAAAGGAATATGAAGATTTGAGGGAGTTACATATAGTGAAAGGCTGAGCCTGCATCTTGTACTGAGAGGAGCAACCTGCATTTCCTTTCATCCTCAATCCAACTGATGGAAATTAAAATGGTTGTTACCACACCTAGACGGCAGTGTTCATGTTTTTATCTCTTGACACTGGGCTCTACTTCTGTGACGATAGGCCCTTCAAAGGATAATAAAATTAAAAAGACACCCACACAGTAATGGGTGAAGGGTATCTGTTATCACAAAATGCTCTATGTGGTCCTCATGCATTGACCTACTGGGTCAACCACAAGTCCTGGCCACAAGTACTCTTGGTCACATCATTCAATACTATAAACCAATCATATGAATGGCTGCAATAGCAAAGTTGTGTGGCTGGAAAGATTCATTCTAGTTGCAAAAGTAGCAATTACCTTTCAAGGTTCTCCAGTTCAGGATTAGGCTATTGAGTTGGATGCTCAACCATGATCACGAAGAATAGTGGGACAGGTTCAAAAGGCTGAATAGCCTCCTCCTGCTCCTATCTTCTATGTTTCTGAGGAATAAACATCTAGCTCTCCCAGAAATCGCTCAGCTCTCCGAGAAAGCACCATCTATCCATAAAAGGTACCAAGGCACTTCTAGCTAAACGTCCTGCTAGAAGAATTCACAGACAAAACATCCCTGACAGAAGGATGGGTGGAAAAAAGGCATTTATGACTGGAGACACAGCAGAAAAGGCAGAACATTCCGGAAGACACACCCTGTATGGACTGAGAGGCTAAGTTTTAATTTAGTTTTCTTATTACATGGATTTATACAAAAGAGACTGGTGTTTATTGGAACAGCATACCAGTAGAATTTTGTTCAGTTAGGGAATAGTTAGTAGTTAGGAGGGAATTGTTTGGGTTGGTAATAGTTCTGTTAATTTGTTCACTGTTAGGGGTGAATAAATTGTTACTTGTTGCTTATAAAGTGAATATCAGGGATTTTCTTTAATTTAACCACTCCTCTTTAACAGATTAGGTGAGATTCTCTAGATGTTTTGGGTTTAATTAATAGAAGGGGACCTCTATTCCTGCTGGTAACACATTGGAGGCTTATGTTTTGATTTCAATTATCAGAGGAACTCAACTTCCCCTCTACAACACTTGTAATGTGGTTCCTCCTCAGTGAAAGAAAAGAAAAGATACTACGCGATGCCGTTGCAGGAGTGGTAGAACATGAGCCTTGGGAGGGGGTAGGTACAATCGCAGAATTAGAGTGCGAGATGGCAATAATAGTGATACTTACTCTCAGCACACAGAAGACTATTAACGTGCTTCTGCAATGTTGGATGTTCCTATGAACTGTGACAACTAGTGACCCAGGTGGCAGGGTCTGGTGCCATGCTTCCTCTGGTGGTTCTGTGGAGGCAGGCTAACCTCTCTGCAGGACCACCCCACAGGACCCTCAAGTACCTGTTGGCAACGTTGGGTATCAACTCTGGGGAAATATTAACACACTGCAACTTTGAAGGAAAAGTATATCAAAAATATGTCTGAAGGAACATTATAGCTTGGGGAATCTAGTATTTAGTTGCACTTGAACCGTTAACTCTGCAATACCCCCACAAATGCTGCCAGATCTGCTGAGTTTCACCAGTAATTTCTGTTTTTGTTTCAGATCTCCAGCATCCATAGTTCTGTGTTTTATTTTACTGCCAACGATTCCTGCTGGTATAAACAAAAGCTGCTGTGCACTGACTTTACGCAAACTAATACCCGGAACAAGTCCCAGCGAAAAAAATTCCAAGCAGAACAACACTAACTTGAACTTTTAAATCCTGAACAAGATAGGCTAGAGACTCACCTCTGAAAATCAAATGCAATTGTGCAAAATGGTTTCTATTTTTTCAGACAATATTCTATGTTTAGCTTATGATTTGTTGAAATACTAATTACTACACATTTTGTATCATTCATTTACTGCTGGGAACGAGTTGGAAGTTATATCCAACCACAGTTCATTTTCTTTGAAGGGATCCTTCGAGTTACTCCTCGTTAACAAACGAAACACATTAAATTGTTGTATCGCACAAAGTTAGCACCATTTTCAACAGGGCCCTTAATGGGTCCGACCCATCTCCCACACTTCTGCCCTCACCCCCTCTCTTCCCTCCCGCAACAGCGATAGGGTTCCCCTTGTCCTTACCCACTGTCCACATCCAGAAGATCATCAGATACCATTTCCACCAAATCCAGCGAGATGCCACCACCAGACATATTCCCTTCCCCTCCCTTGTCCTCCTTCTGCAGGGACTGTTGCCTCCAGAACATCCTGGTCCACTCTTCCTTCATTCCCAATAGCCCACCCCCACAGCCCCATGACACCTTCCCCTGCAGTATCCAAGGGCCCAAACATACCTTCCAGGTGAAGCAACAGTTCACCTATACTTCCCAGAATCTAGTCTACTGCATTTGCTGCTCACAATGTGGTCCCCTCTACACTGGGGAAACGAAGCGTAGACTGGGTGACCATTTCGCAGAACATCTACGTTCTGCCCCCAAAAAAGACCCTGAGCTTCCAGTTGCCTGCCACTTTAACAAATCACTTGTGCCCTGGCCAACATTTCTGTCTCAGGCTTGCTGCAGTGTCCCAACAAAGCTTAGCGCAAGCTGAAAAACACCACCTCATTTTCTGCTTGGGGACCCTGCCCCACACACCAGGCCTCCTTATCTCACAGCCTGCCATTACACAGCACCTACTGTTAGTCACTAACAGTCTCCAATAACAGCTATTCACCCTCCTAGCCAGATCGTTGTCAACTCCTTTGTCTATCCAACTGCTCTTCTCGCTCTTTGGGCTCTATCCTTTATCCTATTGTTTACTGCCCACCCCATCCCCCTCCCGGTCTTCTGCATATAAACCGACATTTTTGTAGCTACCATCAGTAATGAGGAAGGGTCACCTGACCTGAAACGTTAACTCTGATATTTTCTTCACAGATGCTGCCAGACCTGCTGAGCTTTACAGCAACTTCTGTTTTTGTTGTGCAAGACTGGGGCTAGTTTAAGTGTTCTGAATCTTGATATTAATGTGTAGCACAGAGATCATTCAATTAACCTTACAATATCTCCCAAGATGAAAGGTTTGTATTGCAAGATTAATGCTTGTTACATTGTACTATTTTGGTATTAACACCATCAACTAGAAACAGATTGGCATATATATTCTATTGCATTGCACCAAAGCATAGCAACTGAAGGATAAAATTAGCTGTAAAGTCTGCCAATTAAATAAGCATCTGAGGTAATACATCTGGAAAACAGACAGACATAGTTATTTAAGCTTTAGTTCTTGTAAACTGAGATTTTCTGGTCAACATTGCTTGCTCTAGGCTTACAGTAGAGTTCATACTGAAGGTGAAATCAGTGAACAAGTCTGTAATTCTTGATTAGGTATAAAAATGGCTCCAATCTACATCCTGCTTTCTGCATCCTTTTCTTGCATTCCCAGTAGTAAAAGCAATTATTTTTATTATTTCATTTCAACTTTATTGCAGTCCAAAGTGCAAATGAAAGTTTGCAAAGTATAACTTAATCTTTAAATAGAGTCCCTTGAACCTGTTCCCTATTTTTCTCAATGAATAGAAACACAAGGAATGGAGAGAATCTATTAGTGTTATAGGGGGAAAAGTGAAATGCAAGAACTAATCACCTACATGTTTCCACAAATCCTTTTCAAACCCAGACCATCTCCAGGTTTCCACATGCCTGGCAATGAATCTCTAAAGCCAGCTCCCAGAATATATGTAAAAGCAGTATGGGTTGACTACCTCAATTTCCCCAATTCAGTATCTCAAATTCCACCCAACAAATGGAGATTCAAATGAGCCACCAACACTGTACTGGAAAGCCAAAAGCCAAAATGTCGTGCTCATAAGCTCCTTTAACAAGTGCCTCTGGTAAGGTCTAGAGTTTGGGAATAGTGGATATTAATTTTTTCAACTTACTTTTTCTGTCCTACTCTGTGACATCGATCTTCTGCTTGTTTATCATTGTAGGGATTGCAGTCAATATCATGAAGGATGACAATGTTAGCTGAGGTTAGGTTTATACCCAGTCCTCCAGCTTTAGTTGATAACAAGAAAACAAAAATATCCATATCTGTATTAAACTGATCAATCAAGTGGATTCTGAAAAAGAAAGTTACAGTCACTTCTAAATATTTTAGAACTAAAATGCAAAATGTTCATAAAAACCAATCCTTTCCTGAGAGAATTAAAATGCTCAAATTATTAAGTTTAAATTAAACATTTAAAGCTGATACGAAAACAGACAGACATTGAATAGTGAAATATAAATACATTTTGAATAGAAATGATCAGATATCTAAAAAAGGTTAAAAGAACTACTTTTAGAATATTCAGGCTTCTTGCATAATCCAGACTTCCTAGACATTACTTCAACTTGAACCACCTCAAAGAAATACATGCCTTGACAAGTTACAAGCACTTATTCAAAAGCATCTAACTCCACTCATAAAACATTACTTCCAGAGACACCAAAAAAATCTTTCTTTGATTCGGGAAGAGAAAACCACATGGCAATAAGTAATATTAGCACAGCAAAATCCTCAGATAGAAACAAAAAGAAAACGAAAAACATTTTAATATAATTCAATTGTTAATGATGCACTTAGCTCCGGAGGTCGTCCAGAATAAAAACAACAACAACAAAATCAAAAGCCTGCTTAGAACTTTAAAGTTACTAAATGGAGCATCCAATTTGAAAGCTCGTGTTTCAGGAAAAACTCTCATTGAGGTTCAGAGAACAGTTTCTAAAAGAATTCTGAAGCAAAACCCCTTTATTTTAAATATTCACTTACAGGATGTGGACATCACTGGCTGGCCAGGATTTTTATTGCCACTCCCTAGTTGCCCTTGAGAAAGTGGTGGTGAGCCACCTTCTTGAACTGCTGCAGTGTGACCCACAATGCCCTTAGCAGGGGAATTCCAGCATTTTGCAGATGACTGACCTCCAACAATCACAACCATCTTCTTACGTGCCAGGTATGACTCTAACCAGTGATAACACGGTGTTTTTGCAGGAAGGTGGGTGGGAGGAGGTGTATTCTAGGTAGCTGTGGGAGTCGGTGGGCTTGAAATGGATATCGGTTTCTAGGTGGTTGCCAGAGATGGAGACAGAGAGGTCCAGGAAGGAAAATGCCATCCCCTATTCCCAATTCCTTCGCCTATGCCACATCTGCTCCCAGGATGAGGCATTCCACTCCCGTACATCTCAGATGTCCTTGTTTTTCATGGGCCGCAACTTCCCCCGCCTCAGTGGTCGAGAACGCCCTCAACCGTGTCTCCCGCATTTCCCGCGACTCAACCCTCACACCCCCTCCCCGCAATAACAACCAAAACAGAATCCCCCTCGTCCCCACCAACCTCCAGATCCAACGCATCATCCTCTGACACTTCCACCATCTGCAATACGACCCCACCACCAAAGACATTTTCCCCTTCTCACCCTTATCTGCTTTCCGGAGGGACCACTCTCTCCGTGACTCCCTTGTCCGCTCCACACTCCCCTCCAGCCCCACCACACCCGGCACTTTTCCCTGCAACCGCAGGAAGTGCTACACCTGCCCCTACACCTCCCCCCTCACCCCCATCCCAGGCCCCAAGACGACTCTCCACATCAAGCATATGTTTACCTGCACATCTGCCAATGTGGTATACTGCATCCACTGTTCCCGTCGTGGCCTCCTCTACATCGGGGAAACGAAGCGGAGGCTTGGGGACCATTTTGCAGAACACCTACGTTCGGTTCGCACTAAACAACTGCACCTCCCAGTCGCGAACCATTTCAACTCCCCCTCCCAATCCTCAGATGATATGTCCATCCTGGGCCTCCTGCAGTGCCATGACGATGCCACCCGAAGGTTGCAGGAACAGCAACTCATATTCCACTTGGGAACCCTGCAGCCCAATGGTATCAATGTGGATTTCACAAGCTTCAAAATCTCCCCTCCCCCTACCGCATCCCAAAACCAGCCCAGCTCGTCCCCGCCTCCCTAACCTGTCCTTCCTCCCACCTCAAGCCCCACCCCCATTTCCTACCTACTAACCTCATCCCGCCCCCTTGACCTGTCCGTCCTCCTTGGACTGACCTATCTCCTCCCTACCTCCCCACCTACACTCATCTTTACTGGCTCCATCCCCGCCTCTTTGACCTGTCTGTCTCCTCTCCACCTATCTTCTCCTCTATCCAACTTCTATTCACCTCCCCCTCTCTCCCTATTTATTTCAGAACCCCCTTCTCCTCCCACATTTCTGAAGAAGGGTCGAGGCCTTCCTGCTCCTATGATGCTGCTTGGCCTGTGTTCATCCAGCTCTACACCGTGTTATCTCAGATTCTCCAGCATCTGCA